CTGCTGAACACGGACGTTGCCATGTGAGCACGCTGCACTGAGCAAATGGGAAGAGCAAGTTTAGAGCTTCCTGCGGCTTTAATGGGCCAGGGAGGGGTGTTCGCACAATTGACTAACGGGGGAAGTGGAGGGTCATGTGCAGCCCTGGATGGGTCTAGTCCCCCCCCCAAAAAACACTTGAATTGCTGAAGCTGGTGCCCTCACTCTGCCTTTCCTCTCTGCACCCTTCCAGAGCAGTGAAATTCAAAATGGTGGCCAGAGCGGCCACTGTGGGATGCCTCCTGGAGGCCACTTGGGGCAACCTAAGCAACTCAATGTTTACACTGACACTGCATCGCTCTACATTGCCCCATGCCCCTCACAGAGGCGGTTTAATTATGCTGGCGTACTAGGTGAGTTAAATCAGCAGGAGGAGCGTTGCCATGTGCACAGCTTCACCGTTAGGTCAGCATCAGCTGTCCAGCGTCAACAAAATGGGTAGTGCAGACATGGCCTAAGGAGCTTTCCAAGCATCTGATCGTCTCACAATTTGTATAACGAGACCTGACACAAGTATTTGAGCTACTGCAATTCACAGCTGCCATGGTCTTTGCCAGAAAAATCTCATCTCCAGTTGCCTACAGTAAACGCAGTCCGACATTACTTAAACCTATCACATTTACAGTAGTACTGTCCTCTGGAAAACAAGGGCAAATTCTCAAAAAGACTGGATCAGGGAACTGTGGGGAGAAGGTTAGAAGTACATCCACATTGTAAAACATGTCCATTCCTCTTGAAAACTCTCTCCAATTACTACTGTTCCGATCATGATATTACCTACAGAGAACACTGTGGTACCTATGGTACAAACCCACAGTAAGACAGTCTCTGCCCCCAAGGAGCTTACAGTCTAAGCAATCAATCATTATCCCCAATAAGATGGGGAATTGAGGCATGGACAGGTTAAGTGTCTCATGCTAGGGCTCATGATGTATGTGGAGCTGGGAATCAAAGCCAGATCTTGAGGCCCAGTTTAGTAACGGAACCACAATAACCGCCTTTCTCTTCATACCTCCTCTACAGGTTTTCACTAAAGCAATTATAGGTTTTGCCTCCTCTCTCTGGCAACCAACCCACTCAGCCCATACAAACCAGTGCACTGCAGGAGAACCTCGTATCCTTCTGCTCTCAGAAGATATGAACACCTCTGTGCCCGAAGATTTAGACCTGCCAGAAGATGTTGTGAAGACCAGGACTTCAAAGGGTTCAAGAAAGAGCTAGATACATTCATGGAGGTTAGGTCCATCTATACTTATTAGACAGGATGGATAGCCCCTCAATGGCTGTTAGCCAGGATGGGTAGGAACGGTGTCCCCAACCTCTGCTTGTTACAGGCTGGGAATGGATGACGGGAGGGATCACTTGATGTTTCCTTGTTCTGTTCACTCCCTTGGGGGCATCTGGCATTGGCCACTGTCGGTAGACAGGACATTGGGCTAGATGAACCTTTGGGTGTGGCCACTCTTCATAGAATCATAGAGCTGGAAGAGACCTCAGGAGGTCATCAAGTCCAGCCTCCTGCACAAGGCAGGACCAATCTCAACTAAATCAACCCAGCCAGGGCTTTGTCCAGACGAGACTTGAATCTCCATCCCTAGGTGTTTCACCACCTCCCTAGGGAACCCATTCCAGTGCTTCACCACCCTCTTAGGGAAATAGTTTTTCCTACTATCCAACCTAGACCTTCCCCACTGTAACTTGAGACCATTGCTTCTTGTTCTGCATCCGTCACTACTGAGAACAGCCTCTCTCCATCCTCTTTGGAACCTCCCTTCAGGAATTTGAAGGCTGCTATCAAATCCCCCCTCACTCTTCGCTTCTGAAGACTAAACAAACCCAAATCCCTCATCTGACATGAGGTCTTTGCCCACGAAAGCTTATGCTCCAACACTTCAGTTAGTCTATAAGGTGCCACAGGACTCCTCGCTGCTTTTCCAAATCCCTCAGTCTCTCCTCATAGGTCATGTGCTCCATCCCCCTAATCATTTTGGTCGCCCTCCACTGGATCCTCTCCAATGCGTCCACATCCTTGCTATAGTGGGGGGCCCAGAACTGGACACAAGCTGCCAGATGTGGCCTCACCAAAGCCAAATAAAGGGAATAATCACTTCTGTAGATCTGCTAGCAGTGCTCCTCCCAATGCACCCTAATATGCCATTAACCCTCTTGGCTACAAGGGCACACTGTTGACCCAGCTTCTCATCCACTGTAATCCTCAGGATCTTTTCTCTCTTATGATCTTGCTTTTCCTATTATCTTTATTTACAGTGGTTTTGTTTGCTAGGGATTTTTTTCTTCATTCAAACTAGGAGGAGAGCACAATAGCGCCTTGCATGAGTAAGAATCTGTTCTCACCAACACCCACATGTTGACACAGCGATTCCTTTTATTAGCAGCATCTTTACAGAAAATAGATTTCAGCATGCTTTTCCTAGCCCCCCTCCCCCTCACACACACACTCCCCACAATGCATACATATCTGAGCGAGAGAGTGGTGCAAGAAAGAGAAGAGAGGCCTGTTGGTTGTGAGG